AAAGTCTCCCTCTCTGGAAAACAGTCACCACTTTCTGTTTTCACTGGGGACTCCATTTGGAAGGCTGTAGAGAAGAGCTGAAAGCCAACAGGAGGTTTTACTAGTGATGTGCAGTGCGATCCATCTGTGGCCCATGCACGCCAAAGCCTCTCCAGCCACCTCCATCTCCCGGCTCTCTGCAGTTTCTCTAAGAGGTGGCAAGCTCTGGACCACACACAAGCCTACCAGCTAGGACTCCCCGCTGAGCAGCCATTCCCCAACTGGATAGGGCCACCATGCCAGGCAATTCCAAGATACGCCTTTTAGGCAGAATTCACGAGAATCTGTTCTCGCCCCAGCACAGCTATGCACAGTGCCTGTTGCGTGGGTACCACGTCCAGGGACCACCTTCCTAGGCCCTCTCACTGTATTTCCACCACCCTGCCCTCCCTTCTGCAGTCATCTACCACACTGCTGTTGTCTTCTGCAGAGGAATAAACACACCTCAGTCCCCATCCCAGCAAGAGCAGAAGGCATGACAGAGGTGGCACCAGAGACCACATCCCCTGTGGTCTGGGCCAGCCCATTCCACAGTCGCCCCACTGGAGTCTGCACAGATGGCTCCTCCCTGCCCTTCATGGGAAGGGATGGAGCTGAGGGCAGAGACCAGCAATCAACAGAGCCAGGGGAGCACAGACCCTGCCCCAGGGTGGTGACCCAGGGCCAGGAGGGAGGCAGAGGGTCTCCAAGGCCAAGACGGCTGGGGGCAGAGGTCAGCTTCAGGGTCCATCCCGGGGGCTGGGGCTAGGAGAGGGTGGAGAGCACACTGAGTGAGGGCTGGGGGTCCCCACTGCTGGTGGCTCCCCTGCTGTCTCACAGCTAAGGGTCTACGTCACAGTCAGGGACAGAGTGCCAAGAAACACCCCTGGCCAAACTGGGAATGGAGCTAAGTAAACCCAGGGATTTAAATAACTGGGATTTTTAAAGGCTAGGCACAAAACGGGGGTTTGTGACAATGTGCAGAGCCCTCCATCTAGAGGAAACATTGCTTATGTGCTTGACACCAGCTCCATCTCACTTGGGCCGGGGGCCCTTCAGCAAGGGTTCCTGCTGCCACATCCCCTGCCTTGGGGCCACCTGATGGAAAAAATAACTGACTATTTCCATAGAGAGCTTTCAAACCAAACACGCAAACTCACAAGGCCAAAACGCAGGGCCAAGAAGAAAACGCAGGGGCTTGCTGCAGGGGAGCCCACCGTGTCGGGTGAGGCTTTGCCTGGCATTTCTTGGGTAGGTATTTCAAACAGGGGGAGTAAAGCTGCCCTTCTGCGAGTCCCTTAATGTTACCCTCTGTGTCTCCTTTTATCTATTTGCCGCTAAGCAGCAAGCCACTGAACCATTCCGCTCCCCAGTTTCCTTCCCAAAATAAGATCTTATTTCCCAAAGGGAGCAGCGTAGGAACTGAGTCAGCCCTGCATCCAGCAAGTCTTCCCCTAAACATTGTAAGGCCCTTGTTGCTCCAGGTACTTCCTGACACCCAGGAAGGGTGGGGCCGCCTGTTGAGAACCGTCTCAGGGGGTCTCAGATTCTTGGTGAGTTGAATTCTAAGTATTTTATTTGAATCGAAATACATCACAGTGTATACATCAATGTTTACTTCATCTTATGCATTTGGAGTTAGAGCCTCTCTAATCACCTAGCAAATCCAAGTAAACAAGGTGTAAATCTGGATCCCAAATTAGATGAAAAGATTCCATCCTATTCAGCTTATCAAATTTCAAGTATTTCATTAACTTGATCATTAGATGCTAGCTGATCAGAAAGTCCCAAGATCTCTAACTACTGTAATCTAAATGGTATAGGCGTTTCTAAAATATCCACACTGAAAAAAGCTCCTTTGCTCATCCCAAATCCATTTCATCTGATTGAATGATTTTCTCATTTCCACAGAGAGCTGTTAAACCAGCCATGCAAACTATCAAAGCTACACAGGCCCAGGAGGAGGAAGAAATTAGACAATATTCAAATAAGTCAATTCTTAGCAAAGTAACGGTGCACCTAATTAATTGAATGCAGTGCATGGGGTTTCTGTGAACCAAGTCCTATTTCCTCTGAGAGCTGTCTAACTGGTAATCCAGTCATTGAAGGAGATCGTTTTGAAGGTCTCCCAAGTCCTACTCCCGGTCCATGCAACTGTCCCTCCTCCAAAATTATTCACAAGACTCTGGTCAAATACTTCCCTCTTCAGAGAATTCTAATTTTTGGAAAGTTCTTTCTCATCTCAAGTTGAAATCTGCTTTCCTGTGACTTCTACCCCACCCTTTCCCAGGTTCTTCCCTGGAGCACCAAGGAGTGAATCTCTACTCTCGCTGGTAGCAACCTGGTGACAAATCTGGACTTTTTTCAGCCTTTTCAGTATTCTCTTTTCCTCTGTTCCTCCAAGGTTTCTCCCAGGCATGGAGAAAGACCCTTTTCCTCATTGAACCCCTGCTGACGTTCATCCAACGATCAAGGTCTCTCCAATAAAGGAAAATCTGAATGCCATCCTCTTAATGGAGACTGACACTGCATTTCCCAAAGTGTGTTCCCAGGAACACCAGCCCTGTGTAATGTCACCCACACCAATCCAAAGGGGGCTCTGGGTAAGTAAATGTGGACAATGAAAACCTTGTCCTTAGAGAGTCACAAACCAAGGAAGTATATTAAAGCCCTGAGCAGGACCAGGTATGGTGGCTCATACCTTTAATTCCAGCACTTTAGGAGGCCGAAGTGGGAGGATCACTTGAGGCCAGGAGTTTGCCACCAGCCTGGGCAACATAGCAAGACTCCATCTCTAAAAACAATTGTTTTGAATGAGCTGGGCATGGTGGCATGCACCTATAGTCTCAGCTACGGGAGAATCACTTGAGCCCAGGAGATAGAGGCTGCAGTGGGCTATGATTGCATCACTGCACTCCAGCCTAGGGAGCCTTGGTGGCATCGCAAGATCCTACCTCAAAAAAAAAAAAAAAAAGCTGTGAGCATTCTTGGAGAAACTGATGAACAGTGTTTAAGCCAAGATTCCATAATCACATTTGACTCTAAAACTCTTTATTTCCCCCAAATAATAAACACGCTTTGGGAAAGGATGGTTATTTTCACTCTGACCGAGCTTTTAACACTTCACTATATTTCTCTACCCCACTCTCTCACCCTCACCCTCTCTATCCCATTCCCCACTCTTAGCCTCCTGGTCCCCAGGAACTAACACCATCAAAACAAAGAACTTTAACGCAATAGCTCTCAGTATTTAGTGAATTCCGTCTTAAAACGAAGCATCCTTTTGGGATACAATTAATCAATTCTCTAATTTTCTGGCTTTGTACACGTGAACATTAGTATATTAAGTATTCACTCCTTCAACGAGATCTGTAATACAATTCAATGCTACCACCTACCCCAAGGGCATTTTTCAGGTAATTGATGTTTGTCATTAAATTCGCTGACAAATATGAAAGGCAAGGAGAAAACCAGAAACATTTTGGACACTTTTTAGCATGCAAGTATACCTAAATCTATTCAGTTAAAGTTTTTTTTTTTTTTTTTTTGCCTTCCACAAATGTTTGTATCTATAATATTTTTCATGTGCACTTGGGAGCTAATTACTCAAAGAAACCTCATGGTGAAGGTTTTGCAAATTAAACAAACATCCTGCAATGCATCTGGGCTTTGAGTCTTGATGTGTACACAGTTTTTAAGGTGGTTTTGTTTTTGATTTTCTGAGTTCAGAAGAAAACCTTGTACATAGTGGAACGAACTATGTTCCTTCAACAAATCAGGGTTTCTTGACGGAATGGGCAAAGCAGGTGACACAAAGTTTCCAAAAGATGGGCCTCCCCTGGGGTCACACATGTGGTCAGCGGGCTTCCAAGGGTCCCATCTGAAATGCCTCACAGGACCTGGAGGAGCGACGCTGGGCTTTGCCAGCCCTCGAGCCCCAGCTTCTTCTCTTGAGTCTCCTGTTTCTGCCCCTCAAACGAAAGCAGAATGAGACTGGGCATGATGGCTCACTCCTATAATCCCAGCAGTTTGGCAGGCCAAGGCAAGAGGGTCACTTGAGTCCAGGAGTTCAAGACCAGCCTGGGCAACATAGCAAGACCTCTTCTCTACAAAAAATTTTTAAAAAATTACCCAGGGGTGTGGTGCATGACTATGGTCCTGGCTACTCGGAAGGCTGAGACAGGAGGATGGCTTGAGCCCAGGAGTTCAAGGTTACAGTGAGCTATGATCACACCACTGCACTCCAGTCTGGGTGACAGAGCAAGACCCTGTCTCTAAAAGCAATTAATTAGATAGATAATAAAACCACATGAAGCAGAATGAGTTTGTGATTAAGGACTCTGACTCTGAGGCCAGCTTGCCTGGCTTCCTGTCCTAGTCCGCAGCTGTCTAGCTATGGAGAGGTGAGTAAATCAATCTCTCTGTGCCTCAGTGTCCTTATCTGTAGCCTGCAGTGACCTCACGGGATAACTATGGGGATAAAATGCGCTCCTGCATGCATGGTTCTTCAGTGAGGCTTGGCTGGGGTCTGACCTTCCCCTCTTCTGGGTGTGGTCACTCCAGTCCCAACCACTGCTGCCCTGCTCGCTGCGCATCCCTGAGGTGGGGTCTTCATCACTTCCGGTCTGTGCCTTCCCGCAGGCGCTGCCGAATTGATCTTGGTATCCAGGCTTCCTTCCTGTCCAGATCGCGCACTGCAAGGGTCCTCCCGCTCAGAGTCGTCCATTGCTCCTTGGTGTTTTCCAGACCCTTTAAACACCCCGGCAGAGCCTTGCCCAGCCCTTCTGGGTCCACTTGGCAGCGGAGGGTCCGAGCTGACCTCACGCTTTCCGCACTGCCGGGCAGCCGTACTCTCCGCCTGGGAGCCCTCCTGCGTCCCTTCTCCCTCCACGCTGAAGTGTCCCTTACAGCCAACTTAAAGGCGCCTCCCTGCGGATCGTTCCCTATTCCCTCCCTTGCAGTTTTCTCTCAAAGCGTTGTACCTCTTGTTGCAGGTTCCTTTTGGCGGCATTTGTGGTCGAGGCACAGCCCATCTCCCCTTCCAGGCTCTTAAGTGCTTTTCAGAGAAACCACCACAGACACTGAAAGAAGAGGAGGAGTTCGCGTCTTGCCAGGGGCCAGGAATTAGGAACATCTCAGAGGGGGTGCTCCCTGTAGGAGGCAGGGCTGGAGGGGCCTCTACAGGCAGCCCTGCCTGCTGCCCCTGAGCCCTGAGAGAACCCAGGGGACCCTGTAGACAGGCTCCGCCCAGGTCACAGTCATAATAATGCCCCTGAAGAGAAAGCATCTTTATTGGTAAAGAAATAAAATTAGATGCAAACAAGCAAAGCAAAAATCTTTCAACAACACCTTCAGGCTGCCCCAGCCACTGCTGGCTCTGAAGCCATCCCATTTATTCAAAGGCTAGGGACAAGCCCCCAGTGGCCACGTTACAAACTAACAGAGTCGAGAGAAGGGCTCAGAACAGTTATCCTAATCCTGGAGTGGCTATTTAAGTACCGCTTTGTGCCTGAGACATTCGGAGCTATTTGCTAATCCTGGCCCAGCACTCACCACCATGCACCTCTGTGGTGGTTGGTGCCACACACTAGCATCTCCGTTTCTCAGATGCAGGCATGAGGACACTGAAAACGAAGTGAATTTTCAAAACTCCGCAGGAAGACTATCTAGATGAAGCCTGGAAATTCAAGTCTCTCAATTTGCCAGTTCATCACTCCACCTGCCGATGCTTTTTAACCAAATCTGAGAAACACAGTGGTTCTAATGAAAGGCTGTTTCTATGGCAGATGCCATAAAGAGAAAAGAACAAAGGTGGTGGTGGAACAAGTTCCCTTTAACAAATCACTCAACGCAAGAAGCTTGACACGTTTTCATGGTTTCCCACACACTCAAGTCAGAGTGGGTGTCCGGTGGTCATTCATTTTTCCACTCCACATGTATTTATTCAGTGCCAGCGACATCCCAAAGCACAGAGGGATGCCTGATGGGGGTCATGGCCTTAAGGGGCCCAGAGGGTGAGGAGCCAGGAAGCTGGACAGGAGGGCAGGCCCTGGCCTGGCCCAGAGGGGTGGGCTGGGCTTGGACAGGGGCAGGGAAACAGGGGTGGAGGGGCTGGCCCTGGGGGAGGCCAGTGGAAATGAGCAGTCATGGTTTGTGGGTGATTATGTAAAAAATGTGGGAAAAGTCCGCTCTGGCTGGTGATATTGAATGGCAATTCACACCCATTTAGTAATGAAAAGCCTCCCCAACTTATGGATTCAGCATAGTAGAAAGAGCTGGGCTTAGAATTCCCACAGTCCTAGGTCAGACCCTGCCACTTACTGGCTCTCTGACCTATATTTAAGGGAGACCCACCCCCCTACCCCCAGCCCAACCTGACAGGGGTAGCTAGGAGAGATAAGGAACTGGAAACGGTGTGGTATCATATGACCTTCTGAGAGGTAAACCAGTGCAATCAACACAGATGCATAGCCCCAGCTAGCTTCAAACATCCTTGAAAAACAGGATGTCTCTTAAGTAAATAGCAGTCAAAACATGGCTCATCTGATTAAGGCTAAACTAAAGAAGGAGACAGAAAGTAGAAAAAAATAGCCAGACGTGCTGGCCTGCACCTGTAGTCCCAGCTACTTGGCAGGCTGAGGTAGGAGGATCACTTGAGCCCAGGAGGTGGAGGCTGCAGTGGGCCATGACCACAGCACTCCAGCCTGGGTGACAGAGTAAGACCCTGTCTCGAAAGGAAGAAGAAGGAAGGGAGGGAGGGAGGGGGAGAGAGAGAGAGAGACAGAGAGAGAGGAAGGGAGGGAGGGAGAGAGGAGGGGAGGGGGAGAGGGGAGGAGAGGAGAGGAGGAGGAGGAAAAGAAGGAAAAACACCAGTGACCTAGAAATGGCTACCATAACACTCCCAGTAACACACCACCCTGCCCCTCAGTACCCCTGGCAGAGGTTGCTAAGTTATCAGAGCACTCTAGCCCATAAGTCTAAAAGTGCCTTCAGAATCTCTCTCAACACAGCATCCCAGGCAGCTGCTATCAATCGGATTGGCATTGACACTGGGCAGTGAGACTCATTTTCTATTCCAATGTTGTTTAATCAGTAATTTGTAACAAACATGGTGCTCTCGGCTATGGGGCATGCATGATTCATCATGCCATAGCACAGCCTTGATGACAGATTCAAGATGATGTCGCCTCCTGTTTTTCTGATTGCGCCCTTACCAGGACATTGGTTGTAACTGACTTGCCTTTTAGGTTTTCTTGATAGGACAGAATTCACTGACCAGAGAACACAAGTGAACAAGAACACAGAAGAAAGACAGAGGACCGGAGGATTTCTCATTGTGAAGCTGGAGTGCTGACGCAAACAACAGACACCTGTGAGGTGCATTAGGTCAGTTTCCAAACCTGCTATCCTCTGGTTATGTCTCAAAATCAAGTTACCGGAACTACATCTCAGACCACAAGGGCACCTGCTTGACCAGCCAGTCAGTATCCCCAATAAGCAACTTTATTTCATCACTCTTCCTAGCTGCAATCTCAGTTTCCTTATCTGTAACATGGGTAATTTTTATGTGACTGCTGCGAGCATTAAATATGCTGCGATTAATCACGTAGCACCGTGGCAGGTACACAGTAGCTACTCAAGAATGTTCATGATCCTCCAGTTCCCTCTATTTAGGACCTCATCAAGCCTTGCCGGTAGAGGAGCAGTATTTTCACTCCAGTGACCCCTCTTTGAGAGGGTCTTGCCAGAGGGGGCTTCCTGAAACCGTAACACTTTCCTACTCAAAACCTTTGTGGGCTTCCCCAACCCTGTGGACTAAAGACCAAAGTCTCAGGCTGACGTTCAGAAACCTCCTCAAACCAGCCCCTCTCTATCTCTTCATCCTCATCTCCTACTCTGTCCACCCCACCTGTCCCTCAACACTGGATGCCACACCTCTCCCAAACACACAAGCCACACTTTTCATGAGGTTTTCTGTTTTGTGAAATTCTACAGATTCCTCAAGGCCCATTCAAAGTTCTCTTCCTCTGCAAAGCTTCCCTGGCACACTCCCTGGCTTTCTTGGCCAGAGCGTTCACTCTTCCCTGTTTCAGACTCCATGGTATTGTTTGAAAGTAGCATTTCCCACTTCCTGAGAACAAGGGACTGTGTGATTTACTGTTTCCTACTCCATACATTCTGTTGGCCTGAGTCAAAGGTACGTGGAAGGTAGAAAGATCTTTTTAAAATTTCCAAAGTTCTTAGAAGGTTAAGAGTTATTGATCCAGAGAAGAACCTGTGATTCCAAAAAAGTTTATAATCACCAACATTTCCCAAAAGGCTGGCTCTGATTTCCTGTATTGCTCACAGCAACCCCAGGACAACCATGATGGTCTTCAGTTTCCAGGTGCGGACTGGAGATGCGGGGAGCGCACATATCTGGCAAAGGATAACGTCCAGAAAGCAGCAGAGCATAGGTTGGAGGTCAGCCGCTCTGGCTGTGGTGCCCACAGGCTGGACCATATGCTGTGCTGCTGAGTCCCTACGGTCACACTGCCAGCCTCGAGGCCCTGCGTGGATGGGTTCACCTGCACCGGGCAGTCTGGGTATTGGGACTGCAGACTAGTGGGGAGACAGGCATCTAAATAACAGTTTCAGCATGACCAGTATGGTGAAGAGTGTCTGTCTTAAAGGGTTAGGAGACAGACGTGAGCTGGAAACCTTGCTGGGAAACATAGGCCAATCAACTGACTGTTCAACCCTGCTTCCTCATCTAGAAAGTGAGGACAGTGTTACCTACATCCGAGGACAGTTTCAATACCACATTAAGATAAAATATATAAAGAAAGTTCTGTGCTTCTTGTATGGTAAAACTATATAATTCCACACACAAGGTTTGAAAAGCTGGTAGAGAGGCAAGGGATAAAACCCCAGGGATCTCAGGCCACGCAGTCCAGCCAACTCCTGGGCCGACCTGTCGCCACCTGGATGACGCGTTCATGAAAAAGGTGTTCAGAATCCGGGTAATTCCTGTCACCCACCTCCAGGTCCACTGTAAGTCCTACATCACTCACCAAATTGCACTCTCCATGCTGTGATAGGCCAGACTGTCCTAGGGTATCTGACCACTTGGGAAGGATTTTTTTTTTTTCTGAGACAGATTTTCACTCTTGTCACCTGCGCTGGAGTGCAATGGTGCGATCTTAGCTCACTGCAACCTCTGCCTCCTGGGTTCAAGCAATTCTCCTGCCTCAGCCTCCCAAGTAGCTGAGATTATAGGCACCCACCACCACACCCAGCGAATTTTTGTATTTTTAGTAGAGACGTGGTTTCACCATGTTGGCCATGCTGGTCTCGAACTCTGGACCTCAGGTGATCCGCCCGCCTCGGCCTCCCAAAGTGCTGGGATTACAGGCGTAAGCCACTGCACCCAGCTTGGGAAGGAATCTTGAGCCCATTCCTATCCTAACTCAGGGAGCGAGCTTCCCCTTCCCTCCTAACCACTGCACCAACGCCTCTGCACCTCCCCGCCCGCCCAATTCATGAACTGCCCTGAATCTCACTCCTGGCGTATGCCTAATCCTCAACTAATCCCACTAGTTCCCTGCATCTGTACAACTCAAGATCCTATTATACAGCTTTAAATGCATGCAATTAATAGAAGACTTTGAGATATAAAACCCCTTTAAGAACCTAAGGAATAATCTCTGATGGCGGAACTTTAGACTTCCTGGTTAATGGGGGTTGGGGGAGGTATTCAAGGACTACGAAGACATTCTGGCACCTTCAAATCACGCCGTGTAGACAGAACATTAGCCAGCCCCAAGCGGGACTTAGACATGTTAGAGGTTAGACAGATGGCAGATGAGGAGCCTCTCGCCATTGCCTCCCTTTGGAGAAAAAGCAAACTACAGGTACACACCCTGGCCCAGCCTAGCTCCCCCACCCAGAGAAGAGGTTGCCAGAGTGGGCAGAGAGCAGGACAGAGGGCACCAGGCGGTTGCACGAGCTGCTAATAGGTTTTCTGAGTAGCTGGAATCCGCTCCACTGTTTGCAAATCATCATCATCATCCTCAATCAGTGGCTGCGCCCCTAGGTGTGGAGAAGGGCTGGGCCTCTGCCAGCCTCTTTTCAGCTTTCCTCAGTACTAACTTTTTTTTTTTTTTTTTTGAGGCGGCCCCTCCCTCTCAGCTCACTGCAACCTCCGCCTCCTGGGTTCAAGTGATTTTCCTGCCTCGGCCTCCCAAGTAGCTGGGATTACAGGTGCCTACCTACCACCATGCCTGGCTAGTTTTTGTATTTTTAGAGATGGGGTTTTCCATGTTGGCCAGGCTGGTCTCAAGCTCCTGACCTCAGGTGATCCACTGGGAGGCACTAACTTTCTTTTTTCTTTTTCTTTTTTTTTTTTTTTGAACAGAATCTTGCTCTGTCTCCAGGCTAGAGTACAGCTCTGCTCACTGCAACCTCCACCTCCCAGGTTCAAGTGATTCTCCTGCCTCAGTCTCCTGAGTAGCTGGGATTACAGATGTGCGCCACCATGCCCAGCTGATTTTTGTATTTTTAGTAGGGACAGGGTTTCACCACGTTGGCCAGGATGGTCTTGATCTCTTGACCTCGTGATCCACCCACCTCAGCCTCCCAAAGTGCGCAGGCACTAACTTTCTGAAGGAAACTGAAACCAGGTGCCCTTTCTTCCAAAATATTGCTTCATTTCCCACTTCTGGAAAGGGCATAACAGTGTTCTGACCAATATCACCCTGGGGGAGGGTCAAGAGGCTCCCTGCTGCCTTCCAGACACCACTGGGGGGCCCAGAGCTTTCTCAGGAAGAAAAACCCTTCCAGGAGTTCCTATAGGAGAGAAAGGCTGGGGGCAGAAGGTCGTTTGCTTTGTTTTTTCTAATCTGTCTATAGACAAGTTTTCTGCACAGGCAACACACCCTGTCTCATTCCTGCGCCACCTTCCCCTACACGCCAATAGGTTTCAGCAGCTGCTCAGCCGGGCCCATTAGCAGCAGTCAGCCTTCCTCCTGTAATGCGCTTTTCTTCCTGAGCCCCTACTGTAAATTCAGGAGATAAATCAGCCTCTGCTCAGAGAGCAGCAGCCGAAGGGAGGGTGATGGTCAAGGGTGAGTGAGAGGCAGCGGGAAAAACAATGCCACTTCTCACTAGATTTCTAATTGGTTGTCACTGCCTGTCGGAGAGTGATGACAAACACCACACTTGCCCTGAGAGGGCTGCAGTCCAGGCTGGGCTGTGCCGAGAACCCTCGGCCGGCAGGGGCGTCAGGCTGTGACCACCTACTCCCGCACGGGGCTAGCTTGCAAATTTATTTTCCAAATTTTCCCAACATCAATTGGCCCAACATTTTCCTAACAGCCAAAGCTCACGATCTGGGCAAGTGAAGGAGAAGCAGGAGCTCAGACTCATTCATGGGTTTCCAATTAATTCATTTAACAAATCTTTTTTTCAGCCCCACGTTCAAGACCTTGGTCGAAGCCAGGGAAAATAAGAGGAAGTGACTCAAAGATGAGTCAGATGGAGCTGCTGCCCGCCTCCCGCCCGCTCACAGTGGGGAGAAGGGATGACATATATATATAAATAAGCAGGGAGGTGTGGAAAATGAGGAGGGCCCTGAGGGAGGTTCTGATAAAGTGCAATG